TACTTCCGAACTCTCCCCACCATTGCAGAGGAAGTTTTGCAGAATCCAGGAGAAGAGTCGGCTGAAGGTGCTTTTTAGCTGAGCTCCACAAGGAAGCCTTCAAATCAAGGCTCTTGCAGCAGAATGGCCCAGGAGGAAAGGCAGTTTAAAAAGAGAGAAATCCTTCTCTGTGACTGAGGTTTCCTTTAAGCCCTTATAAAACTTTAAATATGATTAATAAGTAACCGGGCTTGTCAAGCGCCAGCTCTGCTCTGACCCTTCTGTGAACCTTTTCTCTGCGCTTCTCACAGCGGTTTATTTAAAGGTGCACAGCTGTTAAGCAAGCAGGGGAAATGAGCATTTCTGAGAAGTCTTCTTAATAAGCCACACGGTGCAAGGATAGACGTATATTTTTAAATGCATTGATCCATGCATTTAACTCGGCTCTTAGCTGTGAAATCGGCTGAAGCTTGAGCTCTGGGCTTGGATACCTTCAAGTCAGTCTTCCCCAACCTGGTGCCCTCCGTATGTTGTTGGACTGCACATCCCATCGGCAACATGCCCAGTGGTCAGAGAGATTATGGGAGTTGTTGACCAACAACATTGGGGGGGGGTGTACCTCTACAACGTCTTGGCTAGAAAAATGGGAGCGAACTCACGTTGGTGTGTTATGCACCAGGGGCATGGATCTGCTGGGCTGTGGACCAGATACGGCCCCCGTGACTTTCCTGTCCATCCCACAGTGACTGAGAGTCACTGTCGTCGTATTTTGGGATGGGAGCGTGACCAAATGAGTGGCGGAGGCATGGTGCATATTTCCTTTTCGAAAGAGAGATGTGGTAGTATATCATCATCATCATTATCTATCAGCATTTTGTTGTTGATTTCTCTTTTTAAAAACCACATTTTTGTATGCAGTCTTGACTAATACACACATTCTGGCAAGCAATTTGCCCGAATATAATGCAGCTTTGTATCTTATTTCCACACATATATGCAATTTTATGTACAATTTCCCCCAGTTATATGGATTGTTGCACATATTGATCGGTTGGAGAACGGCATCACAAGATTTGGAAAACAAAGAATTTCATTGGATAGCGGTTCTTTGGTTCGTGTACTTGTATTGAGAATGCATATTAGGTAGTTTCTCATTAAAATGCAAACAAAGTAACATTTCTCCCCCTTCCCTAATAGTATGCAAAGCTAGTCAGGTTATTTTGGCACCTCAGACAGGAAATCTCACAAAATAATAATTGTATCATCATTATTATCATTATTATTATTTTTAAAGAAACCATTATATTTCCTAGATTCTCCTAGGATCTAACCCCTTCCCCCGCAAATCACTCCAAAAAAAGCAGAGGGGAAAACCTCCGCACTGTCTCTTCAGCGAGCACATACTTTAGAGATCTCTCTGAACTGCACAGTAATGTGCTCTGAGCAACGCATCTGACAACCAGGGAAAGAACAGAGCAGAAAACCCCATGGCAACCCACCAAGGACCGTGCTAATGCAACATAACCTACTTTTTTTGCTGGGGAATACTGTGAGTTACGATAGCAACAGCGTACAGTCATATTTGCAAGCTCTGGATCTGCCATAGAAAATCAAGCTAATGCAAATGAACTGTGCCTGCCCTATCCCCGCTCCTGTTTAATACCGCCAATTTAATATGGTAGAATGAAGGCCAGTTCAGGGGCTGCTTACACAATCAACAAGTGTGCAGTTGTGACAGACAAAGCAGTGGAGAATGCCGTGCATATTGGACCCCAGTCGCTTGCGCAATCTTTTCTCATCTGCAAGATCTGGGCTTGGGTGCACCTTTCGCAAAGCACCCTCAGAAATGTTGCTTTTGCGTTAATGTGTCACAAAATCAAATGGCAGTGGGTCCTCACCTAACCTACTTGGTACCGGCTGCATCAACACACGGAAAGACTTTTCCTGCCATTTTTGCATGCCCAGATAGCTGCATGTGTGACAACACTAATATCCCATCTTTCCTATTAAACGATGCCCGTCGCAGCTCACAACAAATTTCAAAAAGCAGCCACCATCACAACAAACCAGCTTAGAAGATCAAGAGGCAGGAGAGAGAGAAATATATATCACTACCGTAAAACTCATCTCCAGGGAGTCAGTTAAAATAATTGGCTCGACAGGGCAAACACCTGTCAAAAAGAGGAGTTCCAGAGATCCGGCGCTGCCACCAAGAAAATTCTCTCATGTTTCCCAGCCAGCCTCTTTTCAAACATTGGAAGGATATGCTGGAGGGCCTCCCCATCAGAACCTAATGAGCAGGCGGTCTGTTATGAGAGGTGAGAGTGAACAACCACCAGCCCAATCTATTTTGAGCAATGGCACAGTTCCAAGGCAAGGCTTCAGTAGTACCCTGGACAGCTCCATGCAGGACTTAGGGAGGAGACTCTCTAAGAGCAAAACTCGGATGTTGCTTCAGCAGGAGTCATTCCCAGACTGAGCCTTAAGTAGGAACGTGGGTCTATCTCATTTGCTCCTTCAGCCTTTGGCAAGAGGAGCCTCTGCATACGTAGGGGGCAGTCTGCTGTGATTTCCTTTGGGAGGAAAGGCAAGATATAAATTTAATAAATAATAAATCCTCTGACAAGAGTAGGGGAAACTTTGCTTCCCACTAGGGCTTCTGCGCTGGAGGCCTCTGTGGAGTCTAAGTAGGGCAACACAATAATTCTTGCACCAGAGAGGCATTGGCTCCCCTTGCACAATTGCTTTTGAATGGTTATGTTCATCTGAGGACAGTTCCCTCTACCACTTTGAAATCCCCAGGCTCATCCCTTGAAGGAGCAGTATTTGAGCCCAGGTCATGACATCTGCAACTGTGTAGTGTGCAGTTATGCAGATTACACAGATCCTCAGCAAAGTGTTCTAGTTTCTGCACTGTAATTCCAGTTCTAGAAAACTTGCTGCCTCTCAGTTGGAATCAGATGCCCTTTCCGAAGGCTGTGCCAAGGTACACTGTCCCCCATGCCTCATGGGATGTTATTTTCATGCAATATGTGCGGCAGCACTGGGGTTGTGAAGATACAGTGGTACCTTGGTTCTCAAATGCATTGGTACTCAAACAACTTGGAACGCAAACACTGCAAACCCAGAAGTGTTCCAGTTTGCGAACTTTTTCAGAAGCCAAACATGCTCCGTTTTGAGTGTTACACTTCTGATTTGAGTGCCACACTTCCATTTTGAATGTTACACTGTTTTTGCTATTTAGTTTGCGTTTTTGTTTTTGCGGCTCTTTTGTTTTTTGTTTTTGTGACTGTGTGGAACCCAGTTCAGCTACTGATAGATTGATTGTGTGACTGCAGTACATTGTTTATTGCTGTCATTTTATGGATCAGTGGTCTCGTTAGATAGTAAAATTCATGTTCAATTGCTGTTTTAGGGGGTTGGAACGGATTAACCCATTTTACATTACTTTCTATGGGAAAGCACACCTTGGTTTTGGAATGCTTTGGTTTTGGAACGGTCTTCCGGAACAGATTAAGTTTGAGAACCAAGGTACCACTGTACTAAGCAATAGCATCACCTCTAGTGAAGCATCTTCACTAGTATAATCTCAACTGAACCTTTACATAGCAGAGCCATCTGCTTACAGCCCAAATCCCATCCATCAGCTAAACAAGGAGAACCTGGCTAGGATTCTTAAGTGTTGGTGCCTCTCTTTGTGCCCTAGTAATACTTTCTGCCACCTCAGGAAGAGGATATAAATGTGAGTGAAGGGTTATTGGTGACTGGTGTGCTGACGGGGAAGAAGACATAGCATCCAGATAACTGGCCAATGAAGCAGAGCTGAATATGGAGGCTTATTCCTCATGGTGGCTTGTGGCTTGCTTCCTACCATGCCTATCCACTTTAAGATCACCGCCTGCAATATCTGAGGATTTGGCAATGACAAGTGAGTAGCACTTTGGAAGGCTCTTTGCCCACAAAGGACCTGAGCTGTGTAAGTGCATTGCAAAGTGCTTTGCAAAGTTCGCATTAGGAATGTAGGAACATTGGAAGCTGCCTTGTATTGAGGAAGACCATCTAGCCCAATATTTCCTACATTGAATGCCAGTGGCTCTCCGGGTTTCTGGCAGCCCTTCCTGCAGATGCCAAGGATTGAACTTGTTAACTTCTGCATGCAAAGGAGATGCTCTACCATTGAGCTTCTTCCCGTTACAAACAGCTGAAGAATAGAAAACTGAGATAACTGTCTCCGATTCCTGATCCTTATTTATCTTTCTGTGCCGAAGCCTACACCAGTTGATTCAATTAAAGCTTAAAACCCCAGCAAATACCGGTGGACGTAAAGATTTGCAGCTAGGGAGCCACTAAGCAGAAAAATTACAGCATGCACAAAAATTTAGGAAAGACCACATCAGTTAAAGCAACATTTCTTCTAGGTAACCATCCTGCCTTCCACAAGCAATTAGCCAGATCTTACAGAGAAGTTCAGAAACAGGTCAAAATGGCAAGGCGTCATCTTGTGTATTTATAGGGTCTTTTTAGAAAACTGTTTATGCCAGTGGACCTTGCAATAGCCCGTGGCAACGAATTCCAAGGGCCGATTACATTTTATGCAAGGCTCTTTTCCAGTCTATTTCTCGCACATGTTGGCTCATGATAAAACATTAAAATAACATGATACTAATCGTTCCGTGGGCTGGATTAATGAGCCGCAACCCCACCACCTGAGCAGCGAGCGGAATTTTCTCTGTCGGTCCCGAACAGTGTTTTGCTTGCCTTCAGACGCTCCGTCTCGTTAGGTCAATTTCAGCCATGATTTGTCAAGCGTTATTAAGCCATCAGTCCAATCAGGTCTCGATGTCAACTACAGTGATTACTTCACAGCAGTTGAGCATTCTGAGACAGCTCCCTTTATCTAGAAGAGCGCAAGAGGAGTCCCGCAAAATAGAGACGAAAGTATACTGTTTGAAGCAGTGGCTAGGTACCCCTGGACTCTCACAAGCAGGCTGTGAAGGTGAGAACCTACTTTCCCCCCTTCCTTGAATCTGTAGCAGAAATAGCCTGCCTCTGAACCTGAATATTCCATTTTTAGCCACCATGACAAACCTCTGCTTTCTTCCTACATTTATACGCCGCCTATCTGCCAAAGCCCTCAGACCAGTTTGCAGTTTAAAAACAACAGCTTACAAATGATACAAAGAGATGATTAGAAAAACATGGTGCAAATGATACAAAAGGAAAAAGGAGCCTGGAGAGAAGAGGAAAAAACAAGCATCTGATGGTGATTGTATTTACAAATATATTTTAACCTGCCCTTTGTTGACTGAGGTCCAGCTCCAAGGGCCTTCTGGGGGTTCCCTCACTGCAAGAAGTGAGGTTACAGGGAACCAGGCAGAGGGCCTTCTCGGTAGTGGCACCCGCCCTGTGGAACACCCTCCCATCAGATGTTAAGGAAATAAAAAACTCTCTGACTTTTAGAAGACATCTGAAGGCAGCCCTGCTTAGGGGAGTTTTTAATGTTTGATCTTTTATCGTGTTTTTAATATTCTGTTGGGAAACCCAGCCAGATGGGCGGGATATAAACAACAACAACAACTTCTAGATAAATTGCAGTGATTCCAATGATGGCAGGGTGAATCTGCAGCTCTGCCCCACATTCACTGCTACTGGCAGGACAGAGAGGGGGGAATTTGGAGAGGGGTGAAGCTAAGTGGTAGAGCAGCGGCTTTGAATGCAGAAGGTCCCAGGTTCAATACCCCAGCATCTCTCAGTGTAGACAGTATCACAGTAGACTGATGGGTCCTATGTCCCTAAATTCTCAGTATGATGAGATGGCATTACATCATACAGTTCATTTCATTTTTTAAAAATATAATTTTTTATTAGTTTTTTTTAACATATCATTTTCAACCATAATTAAACATATTCTAACATCTTATTCACATTTTTGACTTCCATCAATCCTGTCTGAAAATTTTCCAGTCTAATCTCTCAGTATGCATTTCTTATCTTCCCTATTACATTTCAAACTCATAACCAATATCTCTATCTTTTTCTACTTTGTAACACTTCGTATATTTCTCCTTACGAAACTTCTTGTAGTCCTACTAGTGTAATTTGTTGATTACAGTTCATTTCATTTTTCTTTCATTATTTATTTATTTATTTATTTTATTTGCTCAACACACAACAACAAAGGACAAGTTAAACCATGATGAAAGTGCCATCAGTCGCACCTTACATAGAGAATTAATATAAGTTTCATAATCCTTAAACTGTAATGTTCTCTTCTTTATAAACCCGACTTCCCATCTACTCCATAAATCAAATTACCATTCTTTACTGCCTATACATGTTGTTACTGTCATCTCAAATCACGTTCAAAATATGTTTAATCGTATAACAAGTGAACGATATTGCTGGAGTTATTCAAATGCCGCTACGGATTTTAGGTTTGTATTATTAATTTTCAAATATATTTAAAAGACTTCCCATTTTGAACTGAATTCTTTCCTCGGTTTGTTCTTTAATTTTTTGGATAAACTATCTAATTCAGCATAATCAATCATTTTTTGGACCCACTCTTGTCTTGAGGGAACTTTTCCACTTTTCCACATTGTAGCTATAAGAACCCTCGCTGCCACTGTTGCATAGAGAAAAGTATCATTAATTTTTTAAGGAAAATCTGTATCAATAATACCCAGTAAATATGCCTCGGGCATCATACAGTTTGTTTCAATCTTCATAATCAGGGATGGCTCGGGGCTTGGACGGAAGCGAGAGCTTGTAATGTGAATTCTCCCCACTTGAAAAAGGATGGCCAAATTTAGGCTTGGGTACAGCCTCTCTTCAGCTGGGCCTCAAACTAAAGCCCAGAGATTCTCAGGGAAAGGTCTGGAAGGTGGGGCGGGGGGCTAGTGAGTGAGTGGGTAGGTGGGTAGGGAATCTGGTGAGAAATGCTCCTGCAAATTGCCTCTGCCCAATTTTCAGCAATTTCCCTGGCCACTGCAGCTGCTTCCTTTGCCACATTCCCGGTCTTGCTTTGGGGTTTCCCCTGCCCTCGGCAGAAGCTGTGCAGAGGGTGTGTGTGTGTGTGCAGGAATGGGAAAGCGCCATCGCATGAGCTCACATCACTTTCAAGACAACCTATATTTATAGGTTTCTTCTCAGGCATTCAGTGGTTCCCAAGAAGTCTCACAAAGTAAATAAAAGCAAACCAAATCTGAGAATACGAAGGGTTGTCTCCAATTATGTCCTATTCAGAGTAGATCCATTGAAATTATGTTGGTTTTATATATATTTAATTTGGTTTAAAAGCATAAAAGGAGAATTCTCTGGGTGCTTAGATCCAGGTTTGGGGCAAGTGCTCTTTCTGGAGAGAGACGCAAAGCAAAGCATGGAAATATTGGCTGTTAGACCTTTAAAATATCTCCCAAGTCCTTTCCAAAGTTTCCCACTTCCCTTCACATAGAAGGAGACCATTCATTTGGTAAGTGGAAAATGGTTTACTTACAATCTCTTCAAAGGTCAGATTCATGTGCTTTTCCATACAGCAGCAACAATTCCCAGAAGTCCCTGGGAAGAGAGATTGACTGGTAAACCAATCTGAAAATTGTAGCTCTGGGAGGGCAGTAGGGGTTTCCTAACAACTCTCAGCAACCTTAAGAAACTGCAGCTCCCATAATTCTTTGGGGGAAACCATGACTGTTTAAAGTTGTATAGCCATGGTTTTCCCAGTAGTGATGTATGGAAGTGAGAGCTGGATCATAAAGAAGGCTGATCACCGAAGAATTGATGCTTTTGAATTATGGTGCTGGAGGAGACTCTTGAGAGTCCCATGGACTGCAAGAAGATCAAACCTATCCATTCTGAAGGAAATCAGCCCTAAGTCTCACTGGAAGGACAGATCCTGAAGCTGAGGCTCCAATACTTTGGCCACCTCATGAGAAGAGAAGACTCCCTGGAAAAGACCCTGATGTTGGGAAAGATGGAGGGCACAAGGAGAAGGGAACGACAGAGGACGAGATGGTTGGACAGTGTTCTCAAAGCTATGAACATGGGTTTGACTAAACTGTGGGAGGCAGTGGAAGACAGGAGTGCCTGGCGTGCTCTGGTCCATGGGGTCACAAAGAATCGGACACGACTAAATGACTAAACAACAACAACATGTATGGTATGAATGTGGTGCTCCTAATTGATGGTATGTTGAGCAGGTCTTCTCTAGCAAATCTGAAGACTGAGAAGGTGAGGTCTCAAAAAAAGTTCTGATTAAAGGAGATTTGGAAAGAATCTTCAAAAATGCACAATTGCTTACTTTCAACTGACATCAGTCTTAGTACCCAAACAGAGCAGGAAAGGTAGCTTACATGTGTTTTGAAGAAAGCTACAAACATGCTATTTGTGGATAAGATGAAGGCAGAATTGGGGGGTGAAACAGTTGGAGACAGACAGCTCACAGTTAAGTTCATCTGTGCAAGATAATGCATTCTTTGTTGACCCAAATCCTAATCCAAAGGGAATTAGCCTTACATAAGCAACCAGTGGAGCAAAAGAGGCTATTTGCTCCAGTCTGTTAAAGTACATCCCATTCAAAAAACATGTCCCTGGGTCAGAATTTAATTGCTTTCTGAAAAACCACTACATTGCATGGAGTTGCCCTGTAGGCAATTCCAAACATGTCATTCTTCAAAAGGGGAAAATAAAAGTGGTGGTGTGGAGAAAAGTCTCTGCTTGGAATGTCTTTTTCTGTACTGTGTGTGACCTCACACCTGCTTAATCTATGCTCTCTACAAGTCCTTGGAAAACATATGGAAACTTCAACCAGTACACAATAGTTGCACCAGGCAGCTGGTTGAAGTGGGTCATTCAGAGCACATTATACCAATCTGACTTTATTTGCAATGATCTTCTGTTTGGTTCAAGGCTCAATTCAAAGTGCTGGTTTTAGCCTATAGAGTCCTAAAAATATTAGAACCTGGATATCCTGGCCTGTCATTGCATCTTAAAAAGCAGAGACATCACCTTGCCAACAAAGGTCTGTATAGTTACAGCTATGGTTTTCCCAGTAGTGATGTATGGAAGTGAGAGCTGGACCATAAAGAAGGCTAATCGCCGAAGAATTGATGCTTTTGAATTATGGTGCTGGAGGAGACTCTTGAGAGTCCCATGGACTGCAAGAAGATCAAACCTCTCCATTCTGAAGG